ACAAATCTGAAACTTTTGAAAAATTTAAGAGTTGGAAAGTCCTTATTGAAAATCAAATGTCAACAAAGATCAAAATTTTGAGAACTGATAATGGACTTGAATTTTGTAACTCGGAATTTGATAAATTTTGTGAACAAAATGAAATTCTAAGACACAAAACTGTCCCATACACTCCCCAACAAAATGGGGTGGCTGAGAGAATGAATAGGACCTTGTTGGATAAGGTCAAGTGTATGATGGTGGGATCTGGAGTTCCCAAAGTGTTGTGGGGGGAGGCTGTTGTGACAGCCACATATATAGTGAATAGAACCCCATCTAGTGCTTTGGAAGGAAAGAGACCTGAAGAGAAGTGGTCTGGGAAACTACCAGACTATTCCCACCTTAAAATTTTTGGGTGTACAGCTTACTGTTACCAGAATTTGGGGAAGTTGGAGCCAAGGGCTCAGAAATGTGTATTCTTAGGTTATCCTGAAGGAATTAAAGGTTATAGGTTATGGGCTACAGGTCATGGGGGCTATAAAATGATAACAAGTAGAGATGTTACCTTCAATGAGGAAGAGATGCCCTGTTTAAAAAAACAAATATCTGCAGATCCTGAAAATTCAAGTGTGACTAGGTTTCAGGTGGAGTTGGGATCTCAAACAGTTTCTGTTCCTAATATTAATATGGGAGAAAATGAACCTATACTACCTCAAACTCAGACTGAATTAGAACATTCAGATGTGCATGAACATGAACAAACTGAAATGAATGATCCCAGTCAACAAAGTGATTTTAGTGACTATCAATTGACTAGGGATAGGCCTAGAAGGAACATTAGAGAACCTACAAGATATGAAGACTATTTATCCTATTCTGTCATGTCTTACAATGACCTAGCCTATAAGGAACCCAAGACCTATAATGAAGCCATGAGTTGCAACCAATCTGGTAAGTGGGAAGCTGCCATGAGAGAAGAGATGAACTCTTTAATGAAATATAAAACTTGGGATCTCATGCCTAGACCCAAAAATAAATCCGTAGTTGACTGTAAATGGATTTACAAGGTGAAAGAAAGTAGTTCAGATAATGAGCCTGTAAGATTTAAAGCAAGATTAGTTGCTAAAGGATTTACACAAAAACAAGGTGTAGATTACAATGAGATATTTTCACCTGTTGTAAAATACACAACTATTAGAGTCCTACTTGCATTAGTTGCACATCACAATTGGAAATTAGAACAAATGGATGTAAAAATAGCTTTCTTACACGGTGATTTAGATGAGACAATTTATATGTCACAACCCGAAGGTTTTGTAAATAAATATAAATTTGACTTTGTGTGCTTACTTAAGAAATCCTTATATGGTTTAAAACAGTCACCTAGACAATGGTATAAAAGTTTTGATAATTTTGTCATGACTGGTGGTTTTGTAAGAAGCTCTTATGATCATTGCCTTTACTTTAAAGAAAATTTTGATTCTTTGATATCTATTTTTCTGTTACTTTATGTTGATGACATGCTGTTAATTGGGCCTGATTTGAAACAGATAAATAATATTAAAGAGACACTTGGGGCTGAGTTTGAAATGAAAAATCTGGGGCATGCTAAAAGAATATTGGGAATGGTATACTTAAAAAAAGAGCACAATCCACTTTGATTTTGAAACAATCAGCTTACATAGAAAAGGTCTTATCTAAGTTTTCCATGCATGAATCAAAACCTCTGTCTTTACCTCTAGCTAGTCATTTCAAATTAAGTAAAGAGCAATGCCCAATTGATGAATCTGATATAAGGTACATGGAAAAGGTTCCATATACAAATGTTGTAGGGTCTATAATGTATACCATGGTCTATACCAGACCTGATGTGGCTCATGCAATCAGCACTTTAAGCAGGTTTGTGGCTAATCCTGGTCCCGAACATTGGGAAGCACTTAAGTGGTTACTTAGGTACCTAAAAGGCACATCTAGATCAGGATTAGTGTTTAAAAATGTAACGAATGAATAATGCTTAAAGGCTTTGTGGATGCTGATTTTGCTGGTAATAGGGACAATAGAAAGTCCACTTCTACCTATATATTTACACTTTGTGGTACCTGTATGAGTTGGAAGTCTCAATTACAGCCTATAGTTGCTTTATCAATCACAAAGGCTGAGTATGTTGCTGCCACAGAAGCTGTAAAGGAAGCTTTGCGGCTTAAGGGACTATTATTTGAAATTAAAATGTTAAGTGAACCTGTTGTTGTATATTCTGATAGCCAAAGTGCAATACACCTATGTAAGAATCCTGTTTTTCATGAAAGAACTAAACACATAGATGTAAAGTTGCATTTTACTAGGGATATTGTCTCAAATGAATCTGTTCTTCTTGAAAAAATTCCTACACAGTATAATCCATCAGATATGGGGACAAAGGTATTGCCCCTTTCTAAGTTTAATTCATGTTTAGCACTTTTGAATATTGATACAGGTTAATTCTCCAATACAGGTACAACTTGGTGTCAATTGGAGAGCTGCAAGTGTCCAGAAACCCTATTGGCATCAACGTGGAGGTTGTTGGGTTGTGATGCTCAATGGCCTTTTAGGGGTTGTGATGACAAAAATGGGCTAAAGCCCAAATTACTGGTTTTATAATTACTAGGCTCTTGCCCGATAACTTGACCTAATCTACCCTGGCCTAAATAGGTTTAAAGCGTGTTTCTATGGCGTGGCATTTTTTAAAGCAGCCAGAAACACGCCTTCTTCAGTTTCTCTTTGGAGCCCCTGACCGTTGGATGAAACCTTGATCAATGGCTGCCTCTTGTGGGTATAAATAAATCCACCCCTTGCCCTAATCAGTTGGAACGTCATTTTTCTCTCTTGAGCAGCTGCCTGAGACTTCAAGATTCTTCCAAAACCCTTCTTTTTCTTCGTGAACTACCAAACTTTGATTGGATTCGTTTTCTGAGTAAAATTTCTGTGCGAAACCAAATAATAAGAGATTGGTAAGGGCTTTGGTGTGTGATTTTACCCTTGTGGTTTCCTTTAATCTGATAGAGGAAAACCTTAGGGTTGGGGGGATCAAGTGAGTCAAACAGACGGGTACAATCCTGTGTTTTTCATGAGTCTGAGCCCTAAACTAAAAGGATCTCCATCTGATGCCTTTTGGTTTTGAGTTTCTACGAGCTGTAGAACAAATTATGGATATGGAATATTTTCTTGTAACTCATTCTTGATTGTTTTATATATTTGTACTCATATCTTTGCGTAACAAAATTTAAAAATTTTTAAAAAAGTTGATTAAATAAATTGGTAAAAAGTTGTGAATCCTATGAAATGCATGGTTAAAATTAAAGTTTCTCCAATTGAAAAGTTGTTAAAATAAAATTTTAACAAAAATTTATCAAACAAGCATTTAGCGTTAGTCACATTGTCAAAATTAAAACCAAAATATCAATATTTAGAGAATACAATTTTTACAATAATTTCATGTACCTAAAAACTATAAAGGACACTTTCAAAACACATCGACTTAAAAATAATAATAATAATAAAATAAAAATAAAAATTCACACACACGTACTGTGAATAGCGTCCTTTGAACACATATACATGTACAATTAATCTAGTTGTACAAATTAAAAATTCCATATACTTGTACAAGTAATCTATATATGTATGCCGCCCTAGCAATTGCATTTAAAAATTCTAAATGTCACAACAAGACAGAGAGACCAAATTTAGCTGTCTTATCACCTCATCAATTACCGAAAATTATTTCCTAATTCAAAATTCATTTTTTTTTTTAAATTATTTTCCTTTACTAGTGAAAAGGGACCATACAACTTGCGCATGAAATCATAAACTTCCAAGCAGTGCCATTACAATCAGATATAACAAGCCTAGTAAAATAATTACTAATAATCACATAAAATTATAATCAAACTGAAATATTATATCCGCTTCTTTTTTTCTCTTTAAAGTAAGTATACACAAAATAAGGTAAAATTCATATACATACGTTTCATCCCAAAATAGGATGGGAATTTGTACTCTTTTATTTAGATTATCATCTCTTTTTGAATGATCAGGATCACACTCAAATCATATCCTTTGAGCAGTTGACGGAAAACACATTAGCATATGTAGTGATAATTTCCAGTAAACACCAAGTTTAAATCGGGCTCAGTTTCACCTATTTCATCGACACCACCCAAGTTGAGACAACTTCAATACCACCACCAAGAACCACCCCACTTCCGGTTGCTATAGGTTGGGAAAATGAAGTCCAATGATATGCCCACTAAGGATTAACCACAAAGGTCACGGAGAAGAGATGAAGAAACCGAGAGGTAAATCTCACAAAGAGAGAAATTGGGCACACATCTTTGGAGGCCAAGAGAGAGACGGGAATATAAGCCAAGTAAATATCCAAAATAGATAAGTTAGGTTAGGGTTAATTGGTGGACTAAACAAGGCTCGACTCAATATTAATGGGTTTCAAATTAATAATATAACCTTCCAAGTAAATGGAACGAACCATGAGCAACACTATTAACAATAGGTTGCTTCAAACAGTTCATACAAATGTGAATTGTGTTGTCTCGATAATTGTGTCGATATACTAATCAATTATATGACCAAGGCCGATTGATAATAAAATTGAGGTTACATCATAGCCCGGGGGAGATCGGTTGACAACAAATTGCCTAACAGCATACATTTGCATAAAACATCATGATATATCCCCTTTATTTACAACAAATAATAAGGTGAATAAGACAACTATAAGCAATATTCAGCAAAAATAAATAGTAAAAATAAAAATTGAATTCTTGTTCACTATTTAATAAAATTAATGTTATGTATAAGGTTCGCTCAAAACCACAAGTGATCCCTAAATCAGTGTAAAGGTCCCCAAGAAAATATACAGAAAATTATATGGATAAATGGGACAAATGCAAATTTGTATCCACTGGTAGTGATGAAAGACTCTCTATCCCACATGATTCAACTCCTCAAATAGAACAGTCTCATTTGGCCCCATTAAGCATATCTACTCTCCTACTTTTTGCTAAATGCGCCAACCCACCCCAACCCACCCCCATATCTCGATTCTTTATTTAGATTTCATTGTCCATTAGTAATCACATAAAGAATTTACTGAATTTTTCGTTTTCTTTTGAGAGAGAATGGGATTTCTCCCAGGTCCTAATTTGCCATGCCATGCCGATGATCAATCACAATATAGCAATCTTGGTTCAAATTCTTCCTCTTTTAATTCTTCCCTCTCGTCCCAATCAAGTTTACTATCGATTCCTTCTCTAACACCCTCGACTCAACAAATTGAACACCCCGCCCCAGCCTGCCACCACCTATCTACCCTCAAAGGCCACTACTCCTATATTTTCTCCCTTGCCCTTACCGGAAAACACCTCTATAGCGGCTCTTCCAACGGTGAAATCCGCGTATGGAGCCGTGATCCATCGTCCTCAGCGCCCAAAAATCCGTTATCTAATACAGTTGCGGAAGGGTACAGTGCTGTTAAGTCCATACTAATCTTGGGTGATAAGCTGTTTAGTGCTCATCAAGATCACAAAATTCGTGTATGGAAAATTGATCACATCACACCCCATCAAAAGTACAAGTGTATTGCAACATTACCAACGGTTAATGATCGTTGCATGAGATTATTTTCTGCTAAGAATTATATACAAGTGCGTAGACACAAGAAATGCACTTGGATACATCATGTTGATACAATAGCAGCACTGGCTTTATCAAGAGATAGCTCTTTACTCTATTCTGTTTCATGGGATCGAACATTCAAAGTATGGAAAACCTCGAATTTCGATTGCCTAGAATCAATGTGGAATGCACATGATGATGCAATCAATGCCATTGTAGTGTCCAATGACGCGCATGTCTATACAGGTAAGTGGAATCATCTTGTCTAAAAGTTTAAAATTTTAAATAGAGTACTCGTTTATTTATTTCGATTTTGTCTTCAAAAACTCGACTGACATGTGCACAATTTTCATACAGGTTCTGCGGACAAAAAGATCAAAGTGTGGAAGAAAAATGAAGGGGAAAAGAAGCATTCACTATTAGCTACACTAGAAAAACACAAATCAGCAGTGAATGCTTTGGCTTTAACAATAGATGGCTCGATTTTATACTCCGGTGCTGCCAGCAATGGATCGATAATCGTCTGGGAAAAAGATGGTAGCGACGGCCGCCATATGACTGTGGCCGGGGCTCTAAAAGGGCACAACAAAGCTATCTTGTGCTTGACAGTTGTGTCAGATTTTTTGTGCAGTGGATCAGCAGATAAAACAGTTAGAATTTGGAGGAGAGAAATTGGAAAAAGTCATTCTTTGTTGGCAGTTTTCGAAGGACACAAAGGTCCAGTTAAGTGTTTGGCTGCAGCTGTAGACAATAATCATACTAGGGATACAACTGGTTCCGGAACTTCGTATTTGATTTACAGTGGAAGTTTGGATTTTGACGTAAGAGTTTGGCAAATTTGGGTTCCCCCATTTTAGATGTTTCCTCAGGCAATCTAGTACTTATAAAAATTGCGGTTTTAGCATTTTATTTCTTGAGTTTGTCGCTCTAGCAGCGCCTTTGAAGGTAAAAAATTTATGGGTTTGAGTCATGTCACTGTACTGTCGAACCATATCGAGTGCGATCGCAATTTATAATAGTTTTTGGCCAATTTTACATTTAGTACTTGAGGTTGCTTAAAAAGTTTACCAATAAGCAATTAACTATAAGTAAATTTTACAATGAAATACTTTTTCCACTTTTTAGAAGGATTCTATTTTTTCCATTTGCCTGTCCCTTCAATTATAGAAACTAATAGCTGATTTTCTGTTTTGATCATGATTTTATACCAGACAGCTTTGAAAAATTGAATAAGTTCTGCTTTATGATGTACGAAAGTGGGACTTTTAGTGGCATATCTGCAGTTAATATGTCATTTTAGACTTGACATAGACATAGGGAGTTAAATTGAATATTAAACAACATGATTGCTTTATTAAATTTCAAAGTTTATAGTTGACATATTAAAAATAATTTGGACTTTATTTTTTTTGAAAAAATATTATAGGGAAAAATTGACCTATTTGGTGACCAAAGTTACAGCACTAAGAAAATGAATCTATTTTCAAATTCCGAGCCCCTTTGTTAGAATTCTTGCACTTAGATATGATAAGGTTTTACCATGACTGTCAACTTATTACAGTTCAGGTTCTTTGATTGACTTGAAACCATTTATAAAGGGACAAAGCTACATGTACAGGCCTACTTCACAAGGTCTATATAGGTGGGTGGGGTGATATTTTTTGACAATATTTTAGTCATTGGGACCCATCCCATGTGAGTGTTCTATAAAAATTATGTAAACCATATCCCTGTGCATATGGCATTTTCCTCTGTAAAGAGATATAAAGGGATTGAACATTGTGATACTATTTGACAGTGTTCGATCATAACATGGATAGAATAGAGCCTAGAAAAATTCCTCATATCAAAATGACATAATTGTGGTAAGTGTACTCGAAACTTCTTTATAGGAAATAGTAACGCCATGTCGCAGTATCGAGCACCAATTTGAATGGCAGTAAGTGAATCAAAATATATCTCAATTTCATTGAATTATGAGACTGTAAACACGACTGTCACATAGACAGATGTTAAGTACCAGTTACCTACCCTGGCGTTATTCTAAAAACAAAAGGTTTTATATATAAAATTTACCCCTCACATATAATCTAGATAAACCTAACTTTATTTTATGGTATTTGTCATATCCTAAGACTGCAGTAATAATTGTTAATTTTAAACTAATAAACCATTAATCTAATCCATTTAATTAATTTAAGTTAGTTGAAAGTTAGGCTAGACGTCATATTTTTCGTAATTAATAATCCACAATTAGGAGATCCTGTAGACTAAACTTTTTGAGACAGCGAATAAATTTCATTTAATACTCTACAAAATAATTAGGAATCTGATTAGTGTCTCTTAATCAGAATTTATTATTAAGCAACTTTTTCCCAACTCCTTGTTTGGGCGTAAGCGTGGCAATTAATTAGACTAGTTAAAAACTTTATTATTTCAAAAGATCTTTAATTATCACTTTTTATTCAGTTGGGACTAATCAAGATTAAAAAAAGATTAATTAATGCCAAAGTGCATCATACATCACTTGATTATGGTCATTACTGCATGCCAATACAAATTTAAATATTACAAGTAATTAAAGATCCTGCAAGCAAATCGAACTTTTTAAGTAAATAAATGCTTAATCAAGTCAGAAATTAAACGTGTCAGGTGGCCATTTCACAAGCAAATTTTGTGGCTATCGGGGAAAAAAAACCAGGAGATATTATAAGTTCTGACTTTGGATTATAATTAAGATAAGTTAATTATATTATTGAGTCCACAATTGTAATGATCAACATGTGAATCCATTAAGCCATACGGGAATCAAAGTTGATACAGGTACATTTCGGTGTACATCATAAATTACATTCTTTCAAGTAACATCATCTATACCTTTGATTTTTCCCTTACTTTTCACACTAATACACAGATTTTCCTCACATAGAGGGAATGTCATCCTAAATGCATTATTCTATTGCAATGCCCTTGTGTGAATACATTTTGTTAGGAATTTACTTAATCATGTATAACGAAATTTATACAATATTTCAATTCCCACCATGAATCTTACTTGTGTTTTGAAGGAAACTGTGGTGAAAATAATACATTTTTTAATTTCTACAAAACTTATTTGCTAATCTTGGAATACGAACAATCATGATCTACAATCCACAATTGTTCAACCTCCAATGAAAATCCACATGGGAAAAGAGAATTATGTTAGCAAGCTAACAATTTATTGTATTAAATCTCAAACCCTAATAGCTTATTAATAATAGTTCAAATGGGCTTGATGTGACAATTACTTAATCGAGTCCAATTTTTATATTAATTAAACATGATCCATTAATTAATTAATTTGGCCTATTAATGAGTAATACAATTAATTAATTATCCAACACTTGTCGATTAATTGATTAGTATATTTCATTCTCCTAGTTTTCTTTTTATGTGTGACCCATTAAATTTTCAATCATTATATCTAATAACGTGAATTATTATTTTGATCTAATCACAATAAGATAAATTAAAATACTCTTTTAATTTATCATTAATTCATCTAAATTAATTAATTTATATTCTTTGTTCCAAATTAACATTTAATAATATGTCAAAGCAACACATGTGACGAAAAATGTCATATGGTATGACAAAATCAAACTTATTCATTTACCGTAAAGCTATAATCTAATCATCAAATGATCCGATCAATTACAAGATATGAAGTGTGTCAATCTCAATTATCGATTATATTTTTAATCCCACTATTAAGTCAATGTAAAATGAAAACTATTTTCAACTTATGAATATATCTTGATCAAGGATTTCGTTATCAATTTAACTGAATGAAATATAAATCATAATTTTTTATTTATCTAAGAGTGTCGAATTACGAGGTGGCGATTCAATAGTTTTGGATTGCAGATGGCAATTTAGCAAAATACACAAGTAAGAAAGTTTAGGGACCAATTTACAAAGTTGTTACAGGCCTTGCAAACGCTAGGTCACAAAAAAAAAATTACCTAAGGCCAAATTTCGTGTATGTGCGTACGCATCAAATGAACCATGCGTAAGCCTAGTTCAATTCCAAGAAAAAATGGTGTTTCCTTATTTTATTTTGAAAACTTTTGAAATGCAATCTCTTGGCATTTTAATATACTGTGAGTCGTCCAAAATGTGACAAACCTCTTTAGACCTAAAAATTCATAGATTCTAATCAATTTTGGAGGCGAAAAATAAAGTTAACAACGTGGAATCAAGGCGAATTGCAAGAATATTGAAGATTTTTCATCTAGATTCAAGATTCGCATCAAGAAATTTGAAAATTCCTATTTCTTCATTATTTCTTCTTTTCAGGTGATGATTTTCCAATTATTCTTTTGTAATTTAATTTTAAACATTTTAGGTCAATTTTTCCATTAAATTGGATGAGTGTTTGAATCTTATTTTCTTTTATATCAATTCAAGATGTTAATCTTGGAAGTTCTTGTGTTTTTTGATTGATTTTACATACTTGTTGCACTATTTGATTGTTTGGACATCAACTGAATAATTAATTGCTTGTTGTAATATAGAAATACTCACAATAAGTCTTAAACGAGATAAAATCAACATGTGGAGTTAGAATTAGAAATAATCACTTTCACACATGCAATATTATTGATAATCTAAACTAGATGCATTACTTTCATATAAATTCGAACTAGAAATAGATTTGTGTTAATCATAGGTTGATGTATATTGGGAAAGAGCATTTAACATATTAGCTTTATCGGTCGTAAAAAATGCATGAATTGAATTGATTAATTATTAAGAATTGAAATAGATGGAAATAGAGGATATGTGAATCCAATACAAGCATTCAAATAAATAAAACATCATAATTACTTGCTTTTTTAGAGTAGAAATTAGTATAAATAATAAAACTCAATTCTCTTTTGTTGTTGCTATACTTCGAATTTGATAAAAACTATTGAATTGCAAAATAGACCTTATTTCTCGTGAGAACGATACTCTTAACTCACAAATCTTATTACTTATATAACAATCTCGTACACTTGCAGGTTTTATCCGAACATGATCCGATCAATTACAAGATATTAAGTGTATCAATCTCGTTTATCGATCAATTTTTCATCCTACTATTAATTCATCGTAAGTCGGAAACACTTTTCGACTTATGAGTATACCTTATCCAGGAATTTCGTTATCAACTTGACTAAATGAAATGTAGATCATAATCTATTATTACCAAAGTGTAATGAATCATCTATTGATAATTCACAACCTTCATATAATTCTTGACATACTCGAACAATATCGTATGAGCAACTCTTGATAGATTGACATCCAATATCACCAAAGTCTGACTGTCCCCATATAAGACATTATGATGATCTCAAGTCAAAAGACCAATTCTACTAACGAACATTAGAGATTAACTATTAACATTCAGATAGTTATCCATGTGGAATCTTTCCAATGAGTTTCTAATATTTTCTTCAATAACAAAACATTTACTTGTTCATTTATGTGTCAATATACTTTAGCTTGTGATATCAACTACTTACTTTATAAGTAAGAAATGTCACTTGATGATCTATCCATAATTACGATATTTGTTTCTCACTATTACTTATGATTACGGATAATTTAAGATTTAGTCATATATAATTGTTATCTTACAATCACAATTCCTTATGATTAACAAATTACTAAAACTTATATTTATGGACTCTACCATTTAATTTATTAAAATAAAAAGTCAAACAAAAATAGTTTGCCATAAATAAAATGCATTAATCATATTAAAAGTGTGTATGTCCAAGATTGATTGAACCTTATAGCATAAGACTTACAAATTACTACTTGCACTAGATCCAATCATTTATGTATCTAAAATCATAAGAGTCTATATGACAATCATATTTATGCTACGATAACTTTTTGTCAATGGATCTACAATATAATAACTTGTAGGAATTCGTGTTTTTTTATCTACGTCATTTCTTTGTGTTATATCTCCGATGAGATGGTACCGAC